CTATTGTAGTGGCTTGTAGTCAGTGGCTGAGGTGCGGGCCGCATCGGCTTGGATTCCTGGACTCTGATTGGCTCCTGCCTTCTATGACATAGGCTCTCTGCAGGTTCACCCGATCTGCAGAGCCATTACATCATTGGTATCTGGAATTGATTGCAGGCTGTAGAAGGGCCAGAAAAATTGTGAAAAATGCGGGAAATCCATAATATATTCAGAGCTCTATAGCAAATCAAGGAATATACAAGATGATCCTGAGAGGTCTAGTGAAATTCAAATAATACTTCAAGAAAGATAGGAATATTTGTGTCAGCTCTATGATATACAGTGTAAAATAGGGAGTATCTTATGCCCAGCTCAGGACTCGTAACTAGCCATGCACAGCATTGGCCCACTCCCCCCAAGTTTTTGCTTCCATGAAACATTGGCACCAGTATTCTTCAACTCCTCTGTTGACATGGAGAACCTCGCAGACTCTGGTTTAATCTGGACCAGGGCGGTCCGAGGTTTCTCGTCCCGCGCATTGGGAAGTCGTCGACCTGGATATCTGTCGGTAGTAATGGAGGTGAGCCCATGCATTGGCTACGAACAAGTACGTACCCGTGATAAGTAGGGTGTGGGACATGTCTGGCGAGAGATCGCTAGAAGCCTAGACTCTTTCACCCGAGTTGTAGAGGGGGGAGGGGCTAGGGTGCACGGGAGGTTGAAGGCTTACAAGTCTTGCCAGGGAGATTAAGTACCGCAGAACTAGGTTTCAGGGATGCGGCGGGCAACATCCTATCAGGATGGCCTCCAATTCACTATACACAAGATGCTGAGATTAAGAAGATAAGCGCTTGATAGGGAGCGGTGATCAGAAAGTAAGTAGCAAACATGAGACCTTACATGAAGGCGGTATCTGAACTTGGATTAATCTTGGACAGCTTCAGCAATGGCACTCAGATCTTCTATACACATGACCATAACGAAGTTCTGCGTGGCTGCAGCATGTCTCTACGAAGTGTGGAGTCTAAACGCCGGTGCAGCATTGCATTATCGATTGAGCCCACCAGGAATGGATGCCACGTGGATGTCGTACAGAGGACTAGAGCTCCGGCAACAAACAATGTCCCTGTGCATCCATTGAGGTATCAATTCGGAACACGGGAAGGCATCAAGGCAACTCACTGTGTGTGTATCCAATTAGGCAGCCAGTAAATCGAGCTGGCGCTTTCAGCTCTGTTGAGCAGGATGGATTAATCCTTCGGGCCTGAATAACAGCTTTTGGTGACCGGGACCATCCGATCCGATGCGTAAGAGGCCCACAGGCTACGTGAACGTACCTCCCTTTGAGATCGAACTGTGCTGGCCCTGCTGACATGACCACGACACTGAGTCCGCGCTATGTACTTGATGTTGTGTTTCTTGCGCAAAGCTGATCTGCCGAAACATTTATGTTATTCGGAACTCCGCGATATAGATCTTTGAACGTATTCTTCGCCATTTCGCGGATCATCTGCTTGATCAATCGAATATGCATACGAGCGCTTCATCGTAGCTGTAGCGTGCCCTTGTAGAAACCGGGAATTAACAGAAGCGCCTCGAGGAGAACATGAGGGAGGTTGCTGGACGATTCTGGCTGCAAATTGCTCCGAGAGACGCGTGTAAAATCGGAAGAGGGTTACCCTATCTGAATGGATATGCTCGGTGTAATATCACTCTATCGTCAGCCACAGGAAACCGTGTCGTACTTGTCGTCGTTCTTCTGCGATCGATGCCACAAGTGTATTTCATCCGAATTACGTGTATCAGCATATTCAGTTGCAGCGGCTTCAACGGCGACTCTACGCACCTTGCCATTATCAAAGTCGTCTGCGAATGAGGGAGCGCCAGAATAAATCACCGTTAAGTGGACGCAAGGACAAAAGCAGAAGGTGTAAGATGTTCGCAGTCCGAGTGTGCCATATTCCCTGCGAGCTCTGCGATGGCAATGGCTATCCATGGATTATCACGCGATGAGTTGAGACGTCCAGAGTCTCATCCTATTCACAATACGCCTGAATGACCGGTGGAAAGCTTACACATGCCGTCTTCCGATATTGCTCGGAAGCCTGCCCGCACATCAAGAGCATGGCAACATCAGATTGTGGATAGCGGATTAAAATAGGTAACCCGTGATTTGGTGGGTGGTGTCTCTCGCAGGATCATGGTGGGGGGTTGCGACAGTTGGGGTACCGGCCCAGCACGGAAGAGGAGGTGATGATCCCTACGGGTTGCAGGACTTCAACAGAGGGTCCGTGAGCTGTGAACTTATATGACAACATCTTGCTCACAGGTGGGAGTCAGCTGCATGAGGCTCGCGGCTGTTGCTTGGAGCACATAAGGACATTTCGTCAATAGCATCGATCTACGTTCAAGAAGATGTTTCGCTAACGAAACCAGGGGCGAGCGCCTCATGAATTCGGGCGCTTGAATCAAGCTGTATGGATCCAGTATGTGCACGGGGGCCGCTCAGACATGAGGTAAGGTCCAGTGAGATAGGAGCGAGCGAACGAAACCACCCTTTTTGTTTGATGAACCAGTTACGCCTTGCTCGCGCCGCCGCCGACGACGTGCTTTTGTCCACCGTCCGCTACCCTGACGGCGTTGCTGTACTCATATTCCGTTGCATCTCGGAGACATCGCCCTCTTGCACTACCGTCGCTTTGTCGTTGACAAACGTGTGTAGGTGCCTGTGCCCAACTGAACTCGCTCCAGCGCGACTCGCTCGAGCTCAAGGGGCCAAACCCCTTGCTGGTTAATGTTCAAAGGGGTCCGGAAGCGAAGACAGACGGAAAGGAGACGACCAAGAGGAAAAGAGACCGATGAACCAGACTCACTCAGTATGGTTGTTCGCGCATGTCTTTATAGGTATCGTCGTTATTAGTGTCCCATGCCCTTTAAATTCATCGAGCTCGCCTGTCTCATAGATATTTCGGGGACAAGCACAGGATATCAATGTGGTCCAGAGTTATCATGTGCTCTGTCACCGAAATACAGATATGGACTCTGCTTTCTTGGACATCACACTCTTGCAGTTTACCTGCAGGTATGTGGTGCTGTATAGCAGGATGTCTGACAAGTGTAGACGCTTCTCCATTGCTGCCATCAGGGGCCCAGTACTTAGTCGTAGTCCGGCCGGGTCGTATGCTCTAGTAGGCCTGATTCACGTACGCGTGGATTCACGAAAGTGTGGCATAGGGGATACTGTAGCATCGTTCAGCGAGTTACCGTGAAACCGAATACGGCAGCGACGAACTCGGACGAGATTACGAGAATGTCAGCTGCCCGGGAGGGAACACCGACGTTCGTGGCAGCCCGCCTCCCCCATCTTGAACATGAGCGCCTCAACCCCAGCCGACGCAGAGGAGACAACACAACAATGGGGACGAGGTACATACTATTTATCTATCTACTACACTACACAGAAGCAAACCATGCTGACTGCGCGGGTTCCTCGGCTGACTGGTTACTTGAACTGAACGAAAGTGTTGATATGTGGCGGCACGGACTGGTAAGTTCACGTCGAGGCGCGGGCTCCGACTTGCGCTCGGCGGTCACCTTTGTCTCGTGGCATCTCTCGTTTTGCGATGACTTACCGCTTGCTCTATCTTCCTCTAGGCCAAAATTGGGAAGGAAGGAACGTGGAGGGGCAGGCGGAAAGATTGAGAATCCAGAACAGTGAGTCTTGATGAATTAACGTGCGTCGCCCAAATCAGGCTTGCGCCGAACCTCTATCTAGCCCGGACCTGCTGGAACCACATATCCTGCGCTCCCTGAGCAACGTCAAGGCAGTGTCCGTTCATACCTCGTGCGCGGGGTGTCATTGCATTGTTCTCGATATCGACGGGGCAGCGTGGACGTTCGGGCGAAACGAGCGCGCCGCGCAGGGCTTGACGGGGGTCGACTACGTCTGGGAGAATGAGCCCAGACATTTGAAACCAAGTGAGCTCGGTGCGCCTGGCGGGACGCGGTTCGTGTCGGCGGCGTGTGGGAGGAACCATTCGTTACTGGTTGGGAGCGGCGGGCAATTGTGGACCGCGGGGTGGAATAATCTGGGACAGGTGAGTGCTTTGCTACGCTGAAATGCGTTGGGAGGGGAACACAGGTTTGTGGGAGTAGTGCGGACATTCTCCATGTCCAGAGGTCACGTCCTTCAAGCTCGTGAACGGCCCTTGGAAAGCGGACAACGACCGTGTCGTGCAGGCCGCCGCTGGTATCACCTTCTCGATTGTCCTTACAGAGAGCGGAAGAGGTGATTACCTGGATTTCGCTTTGGATGTTGATGTTGACCTCTAGTCATCAGTGTATTCCTTCGGGAGTGGGGAGAAGGGCCAACTAGGTAACGGCAGGACCGGCGAGCACATCGTCACGGGCAACAAAACCGCTTACGACGTCGAATACGAACCTAGTGAGGAGATGTCGTTCACTCTGGTATGAATGCTAATTTTTGACGCGCGTAGTCCCCGTCAAAGGCCTCGAGGACAAGAAGATCGTGCAGATAGCGTGCGGGCAGCAGCACAGCATCGCGCTCGACGAGCAAGGGCAAGTACCACTCTTTCATAAACAATAACCGCCAGCCGCTCTAACCAACGCGCTATTTCGAACAGTCTAGTCTACGCATGGGGTTTCAACGGCTACTGTCGGCTTGGGCTCGGCCACCAGAAAGACGTACTGGTCCCCACGGTCGTGCCGCAGGTAGGGTCGGCACATACTAAGTCGTTCGACTTGTGTTCATCGCCCCTTCACAGTTCACGGGCCCGAAGGAGATCACCATGGGCTGGAAGATCGCGGCTGGGCCTACGAACTCGGTTGTGATCGACAGGCAGAGGATGTACTACATGGCTGGCAAGGTGAGCCCTTCGTAACGTTGAGTGGTAGGTGGCATGATTCTGAGATGCGGGCAGTGGAAAACAACAGGTGATGGTACGTACGCACATGTAGCAATGGGGTTACTGTTTCATGAGCCTTCGTAGGTTCTGTTGGTCAACCGTACTCCTCCTTCCGATTTATCCAAGACATCATGTCAGTCTGGCTTTCCACCATCTACAATCCAGCTACTAATCATGTCTCTAGGGGATGCAAGGTGACACACGCCAGTTGTGGCGGCGTGACGCACTGGGCTCTCGCCCCCGATGAGGACGGGAGTGTGATGACCATTGCGTGGGGGCAGAACGCCGTCAACGGTAGGGCTTCGAGTAGATCATACGTGTACTTCCAACTAACCTTGACTAGGTGAGCTCGGGCTGGGACCGGAAGAACCGAAGAGCGCTACGAAGCCCACTCGGCACCAGCCCCTGATTGGGGTCGACGTCTTCGAGTGCGTGTTATATATTCTCGTGTTGAAAGCTTGCTGAACGTAGGAGACGCTCTTCAGTGTCGCAGCAGGCCAGAACACGACATTCGTCCTCGCGAAGCCCAACGCAAAGTTCTCCGACCTCCCGCGGCACCCTGCCGAAGTCGATGCCCCCGAATTCTGCCTCGTGTGCGGGAAAGACAACGGGGACGACGACTCGCCGTTGGCATGTGACAAGGTAAGAGGGTGCAGCGAGGAAGTCGTAGACCCTTGTTGACAGGCCGCTCGTAATTACCTAGTGCGATAACCCGTACCACTTGAAGTGCCTCGATCCGCCACTCGACGCTGTCCCCGAGGGCGAGTGGTTCTGCCCCCAATGTGAAGCTGAGGCTCTTGCGCGCTCGTCGGATGCGCCGGCGCCCAAGAAGCGGAGAGCCCAAGCTAAGGCCGCAGCAGATGAGGACGACGAAGACTCTGAGGGACCGGCTACAGGCTCGAAACGCAAGGCACCTGCGAAATCCAAAGCTTCTTGTGAGTACCGGTCTGAGTTCGAGCTTCAGAGTGTGTTGACTTTCCCCACAGCTTCGAAGCGCAAAAAATAGATCGTCACTGGGATTTGGGCGTGTATGTTGATCATACATTCCGTGTATCTACTATCGTTTTGTATTCGGTTTGGGATATCGTTATAGCAATTGGTTATTTATGTGAACAACCGTGTGTCACGATAGCGTTTCGTGACCACGCAAAATGCGTGCATTATATGGTGCAAAGACGAAAGCAGTACAAGGTATATCAGTAATCTACAACGACTATATGTAAACTGTCCAGTATCAGTCCCCGCCGGTGCTACTCCTAGTCCTGTGTGAACTTTAGGACGACCCAGACAACCCCAAGCGCGCCGCACAGCACGATGAGGAACGCGGCAGCGACAAAGGAGAACAGCTCCCATGTGGAGGCACCCGCGGGCTCTGCGGGGGCGGGCTTGCCGTTGGCGAGGTAGGACGCGACGCGCTTCTCGCGGGCGATGGCGCGGTCGCGCTCCTGCTCGAGCTTGACGATGCGCGTGCGCGCGTCGAGGGGGTCGAACATCTGGGCTGCGTTGCCGCCCCCCCTCGACTGCGCGACGTTCACGAAGGACGGGTAGTGCCGCTCGCACCATTGTTCGATCTGGGGAGGGTGATGGTCAGAAGAGGCATGATGATGCAACCGTTCGAACGCACCTTCCCGCAGGCGACGGACAGACGGAGGAAGTTGGGATCTGAGGGGACGGCCTTGGCGTGTATTTTCCTAGCATAATCCCGGAACATGTACGCAACCTCGCGGGGATTGGTCGAGCGCATGATGAGCTGAAAAAAGGTGAATGAGTATTGACATCACGCAGAGGCGAATCCACGAGACTCACCCTGGCCGCCTCGGCCTTGCGAATCTTGATATTACGCTGGAACATCTCCGGATTCATGAAGCACAGCTCGAGCGTCGCCATCGCCATCGTCGCCGGGATCGCACAGAAGTTGAACACCGTCTGGTTGCGCAGCAGCCGGAGGTAGTCCAACGCGTCCTCCGCATGGCGCAGCGCGTCAATGACCATCCCGCTCTGCACCCACAGCGCGCGCTCGGTATTCTCGGGCTTGTAAAACTCGTTCATCTCCTTGAACCCGCCGTACTCCTCGCGGCCCCAGATCTCGCGCGGCCAGAAGTAGCGGCCCTGCTCGACGTCCTCGCGGTAGTCGCGGATGATGTTCGTCTTCTGCAGGAGCGTACCCATCGAGTTGGACAGCTCGAGCTGGTACTGCAGCCAGTCGGCCTCCTTGCCCGTCGCGGAGAAGAGCCGCGAGAGGCCCTCCCCGACGAGCCCCGCGACGTAGTGGCAGTAGAGCTCGTACTCGGCGATGGTCTCGATGTAGATGGAGCCCGTCGTGGCGGCTTTGTGCGCGTAGTCGGCCATGCCGACTTCCATTTTGTGACAGATGTCTACGATGACTTCTCGGCAGCTGTGTTAGGGGGGTTAGTGATCTGTGGAGGGATCTAAGCAGATAAGCGACTTACTCGGGCGCTATTCGGTTGAGCTCCTCGACCACGACGTCGTATTCGACCAGCAGCTGCCGGTCCTTCTCATCCGGGCCGCACCCATCAAACGTCCAACCCGGCGTGACGGTCTTTTCGTGGAACGTCCGGAGGAGGGGCTGCTTGATGTCGTCCGGGATTGTCATGTCATCCTCGATAGTGTCCAGGCCCCGCAGGACGAGATAGAACATGCATATCTGAGCAAAGCGGAACGTGAGCTATTTCTGGGCCGAGGAGGATAGAGCGGACAGAGTGCCTGGGAGCCGAGCTGATAGACACTTTTCACTGACGGACTCGGATCCGCAGGGAACGTGCAATGGGGGCAGTGGTGTATACGTATGATACAGGCGCTTCCCCTCCGAGTATTCCGCTCGGAGATTAAGGGACTTGCCCGTCCACACATCCAATGGAAATGTGAACTGACAAACCGTGAGAACGCCTCGCGATGCAGGTGCGTCCCGCGGCCCCTCCATCGCGCAGCCATAGCTGAGAGCGAACGCAGGGCTGCCCCGTCCCCCAGGAATGAAAGCAATAAATTAAAAGGCTACTCACTGTCCTCGCCAAATCCCCGTCCAACTCTTTGATGACGGCGGAAAAACTACGACTGGTCAAGTCGAGAAACTCCCAGCAGCGGCGCATGGACTTTCTGTCCCAGCCCGACGTCGCAAACTCCGACGGCGAAGAGAGATCCCTGTTCTTGTCATGGTAGAGCCAGAACTGGACGAGGGTGCGGAACTCGAGCGGGTGGGTGAGGAGCAGCGCGAGCATCGAGAGGGCGGTCATGGCGGGCGACGGCGACTGGGTTGGGGGACGACGAGGACGTGTCGTGGGCGTTGGAAGGAGAAGAGGGCGGCGGGAGGAGTACTTGTAGGAGGCATAGGGCGGTCGTACGATTGCCTTATACGCTACATGTTATTTTTGCCCCACGTCACGCGAGAAATGATTTATTCCACGTGATCGCGTCCTAGTCCCCTACGCCCGGCCCGGGGACTTGTGGACTCGCATTGGTCCACTGCGGCTGCCACAATTCATTGGCTGCCTCCGAGATGTCCTGCAACGGGACGTTTGCGGTGTGATATATCCAAAGTAGAGAGTCTCTGCGACGCTCAAATGCCCAATGTCATTTTATCAAGGCGCAATATGTTCAACATGATTAAGTTACGAGGAGCCAGCACTCAATCAGCCTATGCTTTAAGCACGGCCGTCAATTACCTTCGTCCGGGATGTGTGCGCCGATAATCACTGTCAACCAAGATTCAGTCAATGTCCAAGCTCGCCGAGGACACTTGCACCCACTCATAGTCATACCCTTCCTCTCGATATTCACCTGTATCTCGCGGCGTGAGTACTTCCGATCTATGGGCGCCTCGAATCCGAAAGGAGGAGCGTACCTCAAAGTCGCAGCCAGCCAATACGAGCGCGTCCCCGTGAGCAAGCGTGACGAGCACTGACGGATCCTTCTTTTGCGCAGTCTTCTTTCCTGGAGCGGGACGGCTGGCGGTGGCAGGCACAACAGCAGGCGCTGGAGGAGGAGGCATGAGAGCGTCTTCGCTGCCCTCTATCAGCCGCATCTCGCGCTCTCTCTCAGGAACTATCTCCATCTGCGACAGGTTCACAGTATCGCCCGCCGTATCCGCCTGCACTTCAGTCGCCAACTCGGGCCCTGCCGAGCGCTCTTCCTGCACCGCGGCCGCAATCGCGTTCCGTCCCCTGCCCTGAGGAAAGACGTCGATCGTCAAGTCATTCCCGAGGCAGAGGATGACAGTCGGCCGGTCCCTCTTCGGAAACTTGATTCCCTATTCGCGTCAAACATAGTCAGCCAATCGCGTTCGAGAGAGCATGATAAAGTCTAATCAAGTCTGAATGCTCGAAAACGCTGGGACGTATGTGGCATATTCGCGGAGTCGAAGAATGGCAAGAGAGAATAGATACGACTCACGCTGCGCCGCCCACTGCCCATCCAGACGAGCACGCTCAGCTGGTCGATTCGCGCTGTCGGCTCGCCGCTCGCTCGGCACCTATCGAGCATGATACACTTCAACGTATGAATACTCTCGGGGACGTCGTTCCAATTTGTAACGACCTCGCCGTCGTGCGGGACATGTCCGCGCCCTGCAAGGTACCGCCACGCGTTGTGATCTGAAGAGAGCCACATTCGTGTGTGTACGTGGCGACGAGGCAACGAATACTCACATCCGAGCCGACGCCCGTGCGCGCCGTCTACCCACTTCGCCATCCTCGCATCCGCCTGTACCCCCAGGAACGCTTCGGACGCTTCGCGCTGCAGCTCCCGCCTATTATTCAGGTTGAGGTATTTCAGCACTCCGAACGTCTCCTTCCCCTTGCCTTTGGCGTTCACAAGTCCGTCGGGGAGCAGTGGGAACTCGATGGTTTGTAGCGTGGCGCCGCCCGCATGGGCCCTCTTCCGCCACTTGAGAGAGCGGTCGTATATCGTGGTGTCGCCCGCGCGGATGTGGGTACGGATCGAGTCCACGCAGACGGCGAAACCTGATTGTGGGACGTCCGGTACCTTGAGAGCCGTGATGCCGTAAATGAAGGTGAAACAGCTTAGCGCACAAGCAAACGAAACGATACGTACGGGACAGTTATCGCACTCTTGGTGTCTTAGCCAGCGGGTCAAATTCAGCTTCCCGCACGCTCGGCAATACCACCCAGCCATCGGCGGGTCGTCCGCAGCTCCGTATCCTAGCGCGGAACGGCTGACTACATCCTGTAGGACGGAGCACTCGTACGTATCCATAATACCCCCTTGCGCATCGTCGGGCATCTCAATCTCGCCCTCTTCCAGTTCTTCAGGAGGTAGACGCGGGGCCACGGGGAGCGCGGTGTTCCACCATGGAGAAGACGGCGGAGCATTGAAGAAGGCGTCATACGCATCGTCCCCAGCGAGCAATATCGTATCACCGTCTGGAGCCCATTCGAACCTGAACGTCCAGCGGATACATTTGGCGTTTAGTCTCTGCTCCTCGGGGGGAGGTGAAAGGACTCCGCGCTGGATAGAGAAGACCCGGTTAAGCATTAAGGAACTTAGGGGAAACTATGAGGACGTCAGTACCGGGAAGCGACTTACCGAATACTCAGAGACCGCAAAGTAGCCCAACATAGAGCATCCCCATTCCTTCCCCGCGGCATCAGCAGGGAGCCCAAGCCACTCACGCTCGGCGATCAGCACCACCGTCACACCCTCCGACTTCGCACGCATCAACGCACGTATTTCATCGGGGCACTCCAGTTCCTCTTCTGTATTGCTGGACTCGGCTGGCTGAGATAGGTTCGGTGCCTCTGCGGCTCGGTTGCTGGGCGTGATGGGCGGGCTGGGGATCGGTATCGTGGACGCGAGCATCTGCTCTGGGTTGATGGTGTAGGGGAAGAGTAGCGTGTCACAAGAATCGGCCTCGAGCCTGAAGGCGGGTGTTGCGGGAGGGGTGGGGAGCGATGGCTTGCCGTCACCTGCCGAAGGATGCGGATCTGCGATAGTGGTGTCCGTTGTATCGTCAAGGAAGCTAAACGCCCGGACGAAGTCGTCTCTGGCTAGACTGGAGCCTGATTCAGTGCGAGTGAAGGGAGGACGAAGGCTATCCGGGGGAGGCGGGATCTCGAGCAGGGCATCGGGAGACCTACTCGTCAGCAAGGCCATTGCGGGAGAAGACCGTGCACAAGGTGTCTCGTCAAGGAAGCCGAACGCGCCGACGAAGTCGTCTCTCGCAGAACTTGAGCTCGAGCTGGCACGGTTCAAGGTAGGACGCAGGCTGTCGGAGAGAGGCGGAAGCACAAGCAGGGGATCAGGAGAGCCTGTCGTGAGCGATGGGAAGATGGAACGAGACTGTTCCCCCGGCAAGGATAGCAACTCGTTGGTGAAGATACGGTCAGGCGGCGGGATTTGCCCCTCCTCTGTTTGAAGAGACGGATCAGACGGCGACTGATTCATGCGCGAGAGGTCGAGCGGTCCTAGGGAGACGGCCTCCAGACGCCTGTGGAGCGACATACCGGCCAAAACAGGTACACAAGCGTGTGCTTGCGCTCCCGCCGCCGGGAGTGGGAGAAACGCGCTGGGTGTAGTATCCGTCAGCGAGGCGTCCCTGTCAGGTGAATATCCCAGATGACGAGCAAGGGCTTCATCGCGTGCACCGCCGGGGTCCTGACCTTCCTGCATGAGAGGCACCGGCGTGAGCGTGGGGCTCGATGATTCCGTCATTGGGGTGAGACCTTCCGGTTGTTGTAATAGACGTCGGTGACGAAGGGAGAGCGGCTCGTCAGGGGCGGAGGGGGGCGAGGGAGACTCATGTCGTGCATGAGCAGGCGGTATCCGAATTACCAGTGGTTGCCGAAAAGGAGAAGCCGTTCTCTCGACAGTAGTGTAAGGTTGAGGTTCGTCTGGCGGAACGGGCGCCTGGTAATCGCGAACGCTACAGGCGACGAATCGGGGAGTCTGTTAGGAACCTCCTCTAGGAAGAACGTCAGTCCAGGTAATACTCACAAGCTGACTTGCCATTGTTTTCCGTCGACGCACCCGTCGCCGTGCCAGGCCCGACCGCGCAGAACGACGACCGGACGGGTAGGGAGCGATGTTTCGTCCCACCAGACGTCGTTCGTGGCTGTGGAGAGAGCCGGAAAGACTTCGAGGAGTTCGGTGTGACTCTGGGTGGCCGCACAGAGTTGATGAGCAAGCGCGAGATGAAGAGAAAATACTCACGGACGTCCAAATTCGTGGTCTGCACGTCGCAAACCGGAAAGGTGGCTGGACAGACTCACTCGACGGCTTGACAACCTTCCAGGGAGTCAGTGGACGTTTCGTCCCTATGTGAAATAGACGTTCAGAAATAGAACGCAGTGTTAGACACTGACCACGCACGTCTATCTTTCCTTAGTGGTTCCTTCTCGACACGGTCCGATTTGCGTCGTGTGCGCGAGGTGCCGGAGGCCGGGTCTGCGCTACTCAGCTCGGGTAGAAAGTCGGCTGCATCGCTCTTGCGCTTTCGTGACCGTTTCAGCTTGGGTTCCACTGCATCAGGATCAGCGCCGTTGTCGTCGCTGTTGCCGATTATAAAAGGGTCGTCTTTCGGTCGTATGGAGCTTGGAGCGAGGGACTTGCGCCGAGCAGCCTTACCTCGCCGAAGAAAACGTTCGTCCTCGGCTATGATCTCGTCTTCAAACGGAAGGAGGGGTAAGCTGAAGCGCGTCCGCCGTACACGCTTAGCGGGGAGTTCTTCGGGGACAAGGAGCCTGACCGGCACATCGACCGACTTCCTTTTTACAGGTGGTCCCGGCCTTCTGTATCCCTTCGTACTCGGGTCCCTCACTTTCCACGCCTTGCCCGTCCCGCTTTCGTAGTAACCTGTAAGGGGCCGGGGCCTATCGTCCGAGTAAACGCACCTCCTGCCCTTGCACCTTTGGCACGGCTGTCCTCTGCTGCACCATTGTCGGACCTGGATGCACCAGTCGCACCTTCCGGCGGTCACGAAGACTTCACCGGGTTCGCCTGTGTCTGGGTTGTGGGGAAGAAGGAAAATGGCGGATGGGTCAATGCGTTCGTCGAAGTGATCCGGAAGCGTGTCGGGTCTTGTCGCCATTTCACGCCATGACTTTGCTGCTGTCGCGCTAGGCATCCTGGTGGTAGCGGACTCGAGAAGGGGTGGGTAGAAAAAAGTGACGATGCGCTTGGTACCGTAGGTTATTAAACTCAATTATATCTTCCGTGCATCATCAAAAAGTGTTGTATATCAGTATCACGCCCCGTATAATTGGCAGGCAGACGCGTACATGGGAACGGAAGTCCGGTCGTATGAAAATTATGGGATTATATGTTCCAGTTGCCGGCATAATCTCTTTTGCAAATAAAAAGCTGCAGCTTGTCCCTTGAAGGCTAGTAGCTATGGATGGCCAGGGCGCCACAGGATTATTGGTGGAGCATTGCAAACCGAGGTTACTATGCGGTCGATCGTATATTACCCCGCTTCGCTTCGCCCGCCACGCAGAACACGATCACGTGTACGCGCGCTTCGCTTCCGCCTCCCGTTTGTCCGCTGTTTCCGCCTCCACGTTCAACGCTCTTCGACGTCTCCCGGTCTTCAAAACTCTCGGGATCCTCACAACTACGACAGAACATCAAGCCATAGGTTTTATCCACGCTTTTCTCTCGAAGAGTTCCTCGAGATGCCTAGAAAATTGGCGGACTACATTAAGCCACAACCGCCAGAGGCCGTGATTCGCATTCGCAACTCGGGCCTCGCAATGTCGTCTTTCATCCTGCTCGTCTACTTATTGGACATCAAGCCCTTGTCTCTAGTTAGATGCTGGAGGGTGGCTTTTGCAAAGGATATAAGCGTGTACGGTGTCGGGCCCGTAGGATGGTGGGTGAACGTGATCGGTGAGTGTTATAGCGACCCTTTTTGACCGGACAGGGAGGGAGTGCCACTATTGGGTACTACATAAAGCCTGGGAGCGCCGCTCGCTTTGCAGAGCGAGTCACTCGTGTGCTTCGGGCGAGCAGATCAGTCCGGTGCATCGTGTGGCCGGTCAGGGCGAGCTTTCGTTTTTCGTTGGGCAGCGATGGGTTTCGTATTCAGCTCTAGCTCTTTTCGGGGCGTGAAGGACGTGAAGGAGTTGTCGCACGTGCCGTCTGCCTTACCCTTCTTCTTTCTCGGCCGGCACACGGATATGCAACGATTCGCTGACATGTTTTGAGCAGAGCTCGCCGTCCTCACCCTCCTCTTCCTCAACATTCTCCAGTGTCTGTACGCCCTCACGTACCCGCCATCACCACCACCACCGACGCCTGCGTCTTCCCGCAAGAAAGTTGCATTCACGCCGACGAGCTCGCCAAGTAGCGGCTCGAAGCGAAAGCTGCTAGGAGCGTCAACGAGTGTACGTATCGCGTACGTCGAAAATCACACTGTAACACTGACGCCTTTTTCAATAGACCTCCCCGTCGGCTTCTCTTTCTCAATCGCAGTTCCCATTCCGCGCTTCTGCTTCGGGATATCCTCCCAGCCCGTTGTCCACCCCCTCTCGACCACTCAACTACTCTCTATCCTTCCCATCCTCCTCGACGTCCCTCTTCGATTCCGCGTCTTCGAGTTTTAGCTCGAGTGGGATTGGCTGGTCACCGAGCAAGTCGCCGCTGCTGAGGTATAAGGGAAAGAAAGGTGGACGTGAGTATTTTGTTCTTGTCATTTCTCGTTTCTGCATTGTCGGTCGACGTCGAGTGCGGACTGCGCCTCGCGGTGTCTGATATCACACTTCCTGACTCGCGCCCCATCGGTACTTGCCGCTATGACGCGAGGGTGGTTCGGAGTTCCGCTGTTTTCGCCTCGACAACCCCGCTCCCTTTTCGTGTGGCTGATCCTGTTTCGCTGCAGGTGCACTCGATAGCTCCCTTCTTACGCACCTGATGAATGATGACAGCTATGATGAATAGACCCTCCAAATTTTCCCTGATCTTGTTTGCTTCTTATAGTTGCTTTGTCTACAGTACTTAATGTAACAGTCTTTAAGTCAGTGTAACGGGCACGGCGTTTGCGAGGACCGCGCCCGAACATCTATGTTGAGACTCAGCTAAGAGGACTTAGACGTTCTCAACAGGATACGAGTACTTCGTTTACGAAAGGCGAGATCACACAAGCAAAGACCAGGTAATCTCTTGATTCGCAGAGAAAGAACCATGAAAGATGCACGAAGTCTTATATACTCGAAGTAATAATACACTAACTAGAAATAGAAGTAAAGGACTCGAAAGAGAATCAAACAACCATATAAGTACATACACGTTAAGAAAGGAATATCAATGAGAAACGTATATCGTACATGGCGAGCTCCTACATTTGCCCTCCTAAGTATTCACGCGAATACTTACTTTTGCGCCGGCTGCTTCCCTTTACCCCCAGCTGTCGGAAAATCTGGAAAAGACTGATAAGCCCTGACAGAACCTGACGGACTGATCAGGCATTATAATGTTATGTTTCAAGGCTGATAAGCCCTTATCAGGTGTTGTCAGGTTTGGATTAGGTAGGGGCTTCTGGTGGTGCTGTAATATCACAGGAATTCTGTAGTAGATCCTGTACATCGGAAACATCTTGAAATACGGTCGTAGCCTTTACACGGATTGAGTATTTTAAAGGTGGCATGTTGACTACGGTAGCATTATAGTCTAAGTCTAAAGTTATGGCGAAATCTACAAGAGCCGTACGTCAGAGGACATGAGCGCGAATGACGGTAATTACGAGTCGCCCGGTAAGGCAGTATGTATGATATATATATATACCAATGTGAGACTCACACAGCTATTGTTGCGTAGTGTAGTAGTTATATCGTTAGTCTTTACATATATCATCATCGTTCAACTCAAGGCCGCTCGTTCGAATCAAGTCCAAGTACCTGTATTAAAGTGACGTCTTAGATAGTGGTGTCGATGACCATCGGGTGGCGTGAGTGGCTCTTCTTTTTCTCATTTCTGGGACCCATGGCCTTATCCGCGCTTATCATGCCTTATAGTGGCTTGTAACCCCCGTCAGGCCTGATCAGCCTGATGGAGGCTTATATGCGCTTTTCAATCATTTCTGAACCCGATAACTCTCCTCAAACCTGATTGACTTATCAGTGCATTATCTGGCATTGTATAGCAATATCATGCTTTTCTGATTTTTCCGACAGCGAGAGCAGCATCTAACTCGTGGTCCGCATCATCACCAAAATCTGGACCAGCACCGTCCGCATCAGCATCATCTCCAAGTCCGTCCATCTCCGCGGACATATCGACATCATTTGCAGAGATAGAAGTAAACCCGTTGGGTACCTGTTGGTCACTCGGATGCAACGCCCAAGTAGATGGTCCCGCGACTGCAGCAGTCCCATCCGAAAAGGATGCAGGCGGGTCATTCTCGAAGTAGGCGGGAGACCCGGCATAAGCCGTGAACTGGTCGGTTGTACCGAACGTAAGCTGAGGGGAGTTGGTCGTAAATGGAGTCAACTGATGTGGAATGCTCGGGGAAGGACTGGCGAGATTGGCATGCGGCTGATATTGGTACGGATGGGCTGCTCCTATAGCAATAGCCCGATGAGCTTCAGAACGGAGGTGTCAGTAAGGGCATGACCAGACAATGTACTAGAGAAACCGCGTCCCCTACCCATATGGAACGGTCGCTGGGACGGCCTAGCGATGCTCGCGGGAATTACCAACGGCACGCTTAACTGACTATCTGGGGGTCGGCCTACGCGCACGCTGAGGCATACCTTGGCACGCGCCGACCCGCCATTCTCGCACCCCGGCCCCCCGCGGGCGCTTTTGTGCCGCCAGGCCTGACAGGCAGAGATCGCGCATCGATGGGGTCCGAAACTCATGCGATCGGTCCGGAGGTTCTTGCTACCCCCTATTCCAGCACCCCCGATCCTGTTTTGTTAGGCACCGAACACCCCAAAATCCACCGTTCCCCCTCCACCGATCTCCATCGGGTCACAGCCTGGCTCAGTCGACCATCGATGGGGTCCAAAACTCATGTGATCGGTCTGGGGGTTCTTGCTACCCCCTATTCCTGCACCCCCGATCCTGTTTCGTCAGGCACCGAAGCCCCCAAAGTCCACCGTTCCCCCTCCACCGATCTCCATCGGGTCGCAGCCTGGCTCGGTTGACCATCGATGGGGTCTGAAACTCATGCGATTGCACCGGGGTTTGTTGTGATCCCCTATTTAGCCACCTCTGAGTTTGTTTTGTCAAGCACTGAACATGCCAAAGTCCACCGTTCACCCTCCACCAATATCCACGGGAAGGCTGACTTTGTTATGCATTACTTGAGCTGAAATGTGAAGTGAGCACATTGGGTATTTTTCCATCCTCCTATTCAAGCATGTACACACATCTTAAGTTAAGAACTGGAGTCCACAAAGTGCTCCATTTACTTTCCACCAATGTTCAGCAGCAAGCCCACTTTATCATGCATTGTTTGGACTCAAATCTGAAGCAGGTGGGCTGGGGCTTTTGATATCCCAAGATTCAAGCATTTATGAGGCCCTTCTGTTAAGCAGCAAAGTCCCCAAACTCCACTGCTCAGTCTTCAGACTTCAACTTAGCAACAGGCAATTACTCAAGACATAGTTTGCACTGGATGAAGGGAAGTTGTAGCATAGAAACGAGTGTGGGTATAACGGATTGTATGGGAATGAGATGAGAACTATGTGGGGCATTCAAGAAAGACTTCTGAGTATTAGGCAAGGGGATGGATAAGAAAGCGACAAAGCATGGAT